ATACTTAATTCTGCTATTCATTCTGACCTTTATATTTAGAATCAAAGACCTAAAACATAAAATTTTACCCCATCTACTATTACCTCTTCACTTCACTTTTCCCTCAACCATGTTTCCCTTTGTTTCCCAAAATTTCATCCTTCTTGCTTTTACATTTTTTAATCAAAAATACTAATCTATGCTGGTTTGCATATTTTTAAAATTTTACAGAAGAGAAAATTTACTATCTTAATGATTTTAAAGTATACAGTTTAGTGGTATTAAATACATACACCTTGGGGCACCTGGGTGGCTCAGTCACTTAAGCGTTTGCCTTCGGCTCAGGTCATGATCTCAGGGTCCTGGGATCGAGCCCCACATCCGGCTCCCTGCTCAGCAGAGAGTCTGCTTTTCCCTCTCTCTCTGTCCCTCCTACTTGTGTGTGCTCTCTCAAATAAATAAATAAAATATTTTTTAAAAAATACATACATAATACACCATGCTGTGCATCAATCACCACTGGCCCTCTCCATCACTTTTCACCTTACAGATCTGAAACTCTACATCCTTTACACAGTAACTCCCTGTTCCCCACTCCTCCCAGCCTCTGGCAAACACCATCCTGTTTTCTGTCTACAGATTTAACTACTTTGTGTAATGTAGGATTTGGAATCAGGCAGTGTCTGTCCTTTTGTGTCTGGCTGATTTTACTAAACACATGTCCTCAAGGTTCAGCCATGTAGCACGTGCCACAATTTCTTCTTTTTTGAGACTGAATAATATTCCATGATATGTATATACCACATTTTGTTTATCCATTTATCCATCAATGGACATTTGGTTGCTTCTCCTTCTTAGCTATGCTGAACATGGCAAGTATCTCTTCAAGACCCTGATTCTGATTTTTGGAGGCGGTAAATACCCAGCAATACCACTGCTATGTCATATGGGAATTCTACTTTTCATTTTTTTAAAAAGATTTTATTTATTTATTCATAGAGACACACACAGAGAGAGAGAGAGGCAGAGACATAGGCAGAGGGAGAAGCGGGCTCCATGCAGGGAGCCTGACGAGGGACTCGATCCCAGGTCTCCAGGATCACGCCCTGGGCTGCAGGCAGCGCTAAACCGTTGCGCCACTGGGGCTGTCCTCTACTTTTCATTTTTGAGGAACCACCAAATTGTTTTCCATGGCAGCAGCACCATTTAACACTCTGACCAATGGCTGCATGGGGATTCCAAATTCTCCACAGCCTTACCAACACTTACTAGTCATTTTTTATAATAGCTATCTTAAGAACTGTGAGTTGGTGTCCAATTATGGTTTTGATTTGCATTTCCCTAATGATTAGTAATGCTGAGTATATTTTGCTTACTGGCCATCTCTATATCTATATCTTCTTTGGATAAATGTCTATTAAAGTTATTTGCCCATTTTAAAATCAGGTTGTTTGGTTTTATTGCTGTTGAGTTACTGGAGTTACTGGAGAAAGAGAACTTTCTCTCTGAGAAAGAGAGAAATAACTCTTTCTCAGATATATGCAAATATTTTCTCCCAGTTTGAGAATTGCCTTTTCATTCTGTTGACTGTGGGTCACTGATGCACTGGAATCTAATTTATTTTTTTTTGTTGTTGTTGTTGCCTGGGCTTTTAAAATCACGTCCAAGAAATTATCATCAATCCAATGTCATAAGTCTTTTCCCTTGTTTTTCTAAGAGTTTTATAGTTCTATCTCTTACATTTAGGTCTTTGATACATTTTGAGTTACTCTTGTATAAGGTAAGGCAAGAATCCAACTTTTTTCTTTTGCATGAGGATAAAAATGTTTCCACTACTATTTATTAAAAAGACTATGCTCTCCTCCATTGAATTGCCGTAGAACTCCTATCAAAAATCATTTGATCATATATTCAAGGGTTTATTTCTGGGCTCGTGGGCTCGCAATTATTCTACTGGTCTATGTGTCTTATGCCAGTACGACACCATTTTGACCATTATGTTTTGTAGTAAGTTTTAAAATCAAAAAGTGTGAGCTTTCCAACTTTGTTCTTCTTTTTCAAAATTGTTTTGGCTATTGGGGTCCCTCTCTTAAGATTTCATATAAATTTTAGGATGGATTTCTCTCTCTCTGCAAAAATTCGGTTGGGATTTTTATAGGGACAGTATTGAATCTGTAGATTGCTTTGGGTAATATTGACATCATAACAACATAAGTATTCCAATCAATGAACACAAGAGGACTTTCCATATATTTGTGCCTTCCTTAATTTCTTTCAGTAACATTTTGTAGCAACTCATATATACGTCTTTTTCATCCATGGTTAATTTTATTCCTAAGTATCTTACTCTTTTTTATGCTGTTGTAAATGGTACTGTTTTTGCTCTACGTGTTTCAAAATTTTATATAAATTGTATCCTTAAGTACTTATATTTTCACAACTTCCTTTTTTACTATTATTATAGTACATATCCACATATTATAGGTATAACAATATGTACAAGGGGACCCCTGGGTGGCTCAGCGGTTTAGCGTCTGCCTTCAGCCCAGGGCCTGATCCTGGAGACCCGGGATCGAGTCCCACATCAGGCTCCCTGCATGGAGCTTGCTTCTCCCTCTGCCTGTGTCTCTGTCTCTGTGTCTCTCATGAATGAATGATGAATGAATGAATGAATGAATGAATAAATAAATAAATAAATAAATAATAATAAATAAGATCTTTAAAAAAACAACAACAACAATATGTACAAGGAGGACACATAGCATCTTTAGGATAGATATCACCTCTGGAGAGGAAGAGGGCAGAATGAGACAGCATAAAGAAGGTATTTAGCTGTAACTATGAATGTTTTGATTTTTTAATGAGACCTGTATAGAACATTTGTATCTAAACATTTTCCTGGTACTACTTCTGGGACCACTGACCTAGACTGTCACCCCAGGACAATTTTTTCTTGATGTGGCACTGGGCAATCTAGAAAACCAATAGTCACGGTTCTTCCCTCCGAGAACCTAAAAGCAGAGGTTCCACACTATTAAAGATTTCATTCCAACGAGCCTGTACTTACTCTACATTATTCACCTTGACACTTTTCAAAAAGACTAATGCCAGATGAAGCTCAGTCCAAATATGCTTAGGAAAAAAGTACACACCATCAGGAGTACTTACTTTTCATTAGGTTTGATATGTCTGACAGTAGCAAAGCCAATAAATAGGGGCAGTGGTTATGATACTATATATCACGGTGGATATTTTCCAGGGAAATTTTTAATAGAATAACTTTGATGTGTTTTTTCAAACAGCCCTACTTTTCTCATGAGCTAAAAGGTAAAACAAGGAGTAATTCTTCAGGAAAAAGTCAAAGACACCACTTGAGTTGATGGTCTCTAGTTTTTCAACATGGAATCTGAAATAAGCGCAAAGAAATAACAGCTTTAAGAAGTAATCTGAGCAGTTTTCTTATTAAAGGCACTGCTTAGAAAAATAGCATATTGGAGTATCAGATGAACAGTAACACTTCAGTGGTGACTCAGTACAGAACTGAAAATTATGCTAAGTCTACATTTTTGTAAAGTTAACCTTCCCCGAGGAAAATGCTATACTACAATGTTTATAGTCTTTACTTCAATACATATAACTTGCTACCCAACCTGATGTCCACTTAAGTTTCCACTTATAAAACTACTTTTTAAAATGATCATATAGAAAGGAGGAAAGTAATGAATCACATAAGACCATCACAAAACATATCATAAGACAATTGCTTAGCTCCAACATAGTTTTCATTTTAAGAAAGGTGACTAAATACCTTTTAGGAACAAATGCTTTAACAATTTTGGCATATAGAATGAATCACAAAATTTATAGACAACCAGGAGACTACACTTAATTCATTTACTTGTGACTGACTACTACATAAAAATGTCAGTTTCTCCAGTGTAACACTCACCAAGCACACAGTAGGGATGTAATAAGGATATGGTGCATAAATGAATTCTCCTTAACTCCTGACTTGTGTTATTTTCTATCATCAGGAAACTGCCACAAGGGAGTACCTGCTTGGCTGGAGTCTGTAGAGCAGGAATCTCTTGACCTAGGGGTCTGGAGTTTGAGCCCCAAGCCAGGGGTAGAGGTTATGTAAAAACAAACATACAAACAAAACTACCACTAAATACCTCAGCCTCACCAGGTTTTATTTCTGTGAAGTTGTATTATTTTGATTTTCATATCCTATTCAAATCTTTTTATTAAAAAAGTCATTTTTCCATACAATAAAATGACATTTCATTGCAACTTAGCCACAAGAAAAGAAATGTAGCTTAATAAAATATTCATTGTACTAACTACACAACAGCTTCTGTGGGTTCATGCTGAAAGCAAAAAAGGACGCAAGTTAACCTTCCATGGTATTTTTCTGGCAATCTCAAATCACAGAACTTAAAACATATCATTCGTACCACAGTATAAACACTAAATCTTAATGTAACATTGTTCAGTATAGACCGGAATTAAACTAAAACAGTTCTAGCATGGTACTATCCAAGGGGTTTAAGTTCAAGTTTTAAGTTCCTTCAAAACAAAAGGAATGTCACCAGAAGGTAAATTTAGCCTCAAGAATGTCTCACACAACCTGAAGTCTCAAGAAAATGTTATATAGGCTTCAGATTACTTGTTTAAAACAATGATTACCTACCACAGCTATCATATGTTTGGAATTATACCTAAAGATGCTCTTCTCTGTGACAAAAACAAACATATTACTTCTAATAACAAAAGGAAAATGAATCAGATGTCAGGAAGTGAGTTTAGAATGTGGCTAAATCTCAGAATATATTTCCTAATTAACGTGAGACAACAAAAACTGCCATTTACATTCAGCTTCCTAAAGAAGACAAACACACAGCTTTGTCACAGATTCAAAAGACGACAGTCACTGAATAGGTTAAAAACTGCTTTAAATATTCACAGATAATTTCAAGATTGACCAAAAAAAAAAAAAAAAGCAAAGAAAGAAAACTCACAGAGAACGTTGTTGGCCCACTGTTTGACGCTATGACAGTATGAACTTCATCATGCAATTTTATTGAGAGCTCCCAGTTAGCCACTTGTGGTTTAATAATAGGCACTCTGAAGCAGAAAAAAAGAAAAAAATAGTTAATCTTATAGGATTCTCTTAGTAAACTGATTTTCCTTTGACATTAAGTGTGCTGGGTAAAACTGCCAAAGATTGTACTTCAGCACATTATTTTAAAAGGTTCTATCCTTGAAAAAAGCTTTCAGGTTTAAACTAGAGCAATTAAAAACAAACAAAAAACACACAGACATTCCAAGGACAACAGAGATCATTCTGGGATAATTGTGCTTCCTCCATCTACTCAAAGCACCATCACCTACTCTGTGTATTTGAGTTGCTTCATTGTGACAGTCTTTCAAAAATCAACTTTATGCAATATTAATTTCTTTTCACTATTTGGTTACTGTTCCAGACTATTTTCAAAAATTTACAATTTTGGTCTCTTATTTTTCTGGTTTTATCGAGTTATACTTGGTATCAAAAAACTGCATATAAAACGGGACGCCTGAGATGCTCAGTGGTTGGGCATCTGCCTTTGGCTCAGGGTGTGGTCCCAGTCCAGGATCAGGTCCCACATCGGGCGCCCTGTGAGGAGCCTGCTTCTCCCTCTGCCTGTGTCTATGCCTCTCTGTGTCTCTCATGAATAAATAAACAAAATCTTTTTTAAAAAATTGCATATAATTAACATACAAATAGATATTCAATTGTGTTTCTATCACCATAATTAAAGTAATAAACCTATCCACCACATCCAGAAAGTTTCTTGTATCCTTTCCTTTTGTTTTGGTTTTTTGTTTGTTTGGATAAGAATACAACATCAGTGATGCTAGTCTTAACACACAGGTCTTTTCCTGCCCATGATCCACATTACATGATCCAGAAAAACTGGGTCAAACAGCAAGAGACAAAAACATTTTTAGAATATAAGTATTTCTCACAAATTTTAAAGTAACAAAATTTTAATGATTTCTGAATTAACCTAATTTAAATATTAAGTGTTTTCAATTTTTATAGTTGCAAAGTAATATTTATGAACTACTAAACAGGTAGTATCCAGATCTTGTCTTATGTCATAACTCTGAAATGATGTTGCAGGTTATGTTTTAATATCCCCTCCCTCAAACTTCAAAAGGATTCTCTGTGTATTCTATTAAAAAAAAATTCAGTCACAAAAACTATGATTATGATCAAATCATCTATAGACACAATGTCTAATGGAGGATTATGGATGATTTAGGTGAACATTTGTATTTGGCCCACTGTTTATTTTCTGAAGATGAAGAAATGTTTTAAATACTATAGGATTTAGTTAAAATTAAAGAAAAGTTTAAAAATGCATCAACAAACCAATACTAATGCGCATGGCAGAGACATGGAGGATTCTCTTTTGGCAATTTAAAGAGGATGGTTTCAGTGGACAGAGCTTCACATAGGAGAGCTGGAAAGAACAACAGGGAAACATACAGGAGGCAGAGGAGGAGAAGAGAGAGGAAGAGCAGCATGGGGTACAGTGCTCCTGTGTGCCAAGCCCACCTCTAATTGGGCATGCCATTCCATGGGGCAGGCATCTGTTTATCTCCCCGACTGGCCTGTGACCTCCTAAAGGACCAAGATCATGCCTTATTTTTGCATCCCCAGGTCCCACTGCACGTTGAGGAGAAAGGGCTGGGGTGGGCAACAGCTGGAAGGAATTTGAGGAGCACCTGCAATGTGCCAATGACTGCAAAGGGGAGGCCGTGTCACCCAAGGGGCAGAGTACACTCCAAAAGGAGCATGGACCCCAAGCTGAATGTTCTTGGGCTATACAGATGACCTCTCTAGACTTCGCCCTGTTTACCTTCAAACAGGGTTAACCCCTGACCTTTTCAGGGATACTGTGATAACAGAAATAACCTGGCAGCTAATATTGCTGACAACATAGCTTTCTTAAATCTTGGCTACTGAAATCTTAGCTAACTCACCTACCATTCAAGTTTCTTATAAATAACACCCCACTCTTGTATCTGGTTTTATTTCTGATTATTCTCTGATTTGTATAGCCAGTGTGCCAAACCCTTAAGTTACTTCACAAATAAAACCAAAATAAAACCTGCAGAAGAACTAAACCCAGGGATCACAAACTCAGACTCTGGTGACTCACAGAAATAGCTAAGAAACACAGCTCTGCCATTCATTAGTTCTGACTTTGGGCCAACTGTTAGGTCTCTGTCTCTCTAAGAGTCAAACCAGACATATATCATAGTGATATACCAAAGGTTAAATAATGCACATAAATGGTAACTTTTATTACTTTGATTAGTCCCAACCCTAGACCTATACTCATTGCCCCTCGCCCCCCCCCCCATAACGAAAACCCCTTTAAGGAAACTCTGGGTTCCTTCTGCTCCACAAATTTTTCATGAATATCATCTCTCTCATAAGCGTTCTCTAATTATAGGTACTGATCAGAGTACAACCTCATTCATCTCCCTTCCGCTTAAACTTTATTATATGCTTAGTACTTTTCACAACTCAGTAGACCAGAGAAGGTAACTCTTCCAGTAAACCTGGAGACCACTCTGAGTTATGCAACAAGCCTGTTTCCAGAGGAGCTGGGAAGTTAATCCTGACATCCTGCTGGAACCCAGACTGCATTTTCCCACAGAAAGCAATCCTACAGATGGTGGCGAGATACAGTTGCCACCCTTCAGAACCTAACTACTATTTATTTTTCCATTGTTTTATTTTGATCCACATCTGTTTCATATATGTTATAACCTACCCCAAGAGGAACCTTGTGCAAAGAGCATAGTCTCTTTTCAGTTGAAATCCTGAGGTTTTATCTTAGACCATTCTCTTACTAACAATGTACCAAGGACTCTTTCAGTCCCTTGGAATCAAAATTGCTACACATGTGAAATACAGCTAGCGCAGCGCTGGGAAAGCAAAAGGAAAGCTCTTCTTTCTTCTGAGCATACAACTCTGAGATGGTACTTTCCAAACAATATCTTTTTAGATGACGAGTTACTAAGAGGATTTCCTGTGGAAGTAAGCCCATGAGATATGAAAAAAAAAATAGTCACACTGTGCAATCTCTTTATGCATTCAATTCTTTCACAAATACAACTTGTTAAAATCTCTTCTGGCTTTATGTGAGTTTGAAAATAGTTTTGTTTTAAAATAAAATGGATGGGTTTGGGCATATGTGCCCAGTATAAAGATCCATAAACTCTGCAGTAGAAATAAACTATAATAAACTATAAATAAAGATATTAACACACACCAACCTGAAAGTACATGTGCTCTATTTCTGCAAAACCACTGAAACTACAGTAACAATAATTACTTTGAAACACTGGTATCAATCTCACTAGCACAAATATGTTTATCATTATAAACCAGTTACATTTTATAGTTATATTTTAAATTTTAGAAAAGAGCTATATTTATTCATTAAATCTAAAATAGTCTCAAAGATTTTTATAAATAACTCTCTGGAAATGGAGAGAAAAAATCCTGGAGTTTCACACAACTTACTACAGTAATGGTACACAGAAAACAGCTTTTTACTGAACTACATCCTAGTGAAAGAGGATGCCCTCTGATCAAAAATTTCATCTGTGCAGCTTATTAGTTACTTAAAAAGCTGATATCATTTAAGTTACTGGTTCAAAAAACAAACAAAACCCAGGAAAAGGGAATTCACATAAACAGCTACTCACAAGGCAAGTCAAATAATAGCTCTTATCCAGACCTGTCCACTCTGATTATCATCAGCCAACCAGAATGAATATGCTCAATAAAACTAAATTTTTCTGTATTTTATAGTAAAAACAGCTCATTATCACAAATGCTATTGCTAATCCATTTAATTTACTAGAATACTTTCCTCAAAAAAGTGTAAATAATACTAACCCAAATACATTGCTATTAAGTGTTGTGTTTAAGGCAGATTTTATGTAAACATAACTCACAGAAATCTTTGTTATCAAGGATTAATAAGCATCTCAAAACCATATTATGAGACACTCAGAAAAGCTGGTTTTCAACTGTGCCATTACCTATTTAGGAGTGAAATACTGAGTTAAAACAATGTTAGTAGTCAAAGAATCATTAAGCAATCCTTGATCATAACTTTCACAGTGGGTGGTCTGTAAAATGATCAAGAATAATACGCTGCATTCCATAGCCACAGAGGTCAGCTTCTGCATACAAATCTTCGCAGGAAGAAAAAGGCCTTCAGAAAAGTGGGCCATTCATCTGAACCAAGTTCAGAGAATTTCCAGCATGGTGAAAAGATATGTTATGCAAGCACATAGATGTATTCAGTGGGGGTAGACAGAACCAGCTACATGGCGACTACAAAGGAGCCCTCCCATGGTTCATGAATAAGTCGAGGAAATGATCAGAAAAAAAAAAAGAGAGGGATGTTTAGACAGATGGCCCACTTAAAATGCCTGAGACAGGGCATAAGCAATTTTAATGAAACTTTAGATCTAACATATGAATTGTTTCTTATTTCCTCCAGGAAAAAAAAAATCTAAAGATGACAAAAATTCAGCGATTTGCTGAAAAACTCACTTTTAGCAAGTTGGGATAGAGGAAGAATTTACAAGTTTTATTAGTTCAATAAATTTATATAAAATTCTTCACAGAGCCATCAGCTATCAAATGAATATAAAAAGCATGGAATGAACAGATTAAAGGAATTTTAAACAGAAGTCTACTGCCAAAGCAAACAAAAATCTAAGCCTTATTATGTGAGAACTTACAACACTCCAACATTAAAGTTCATCACTGTAGAAAAAAGATAAAAGCAGCATTTTTCAGAGAACCTCTTCAAAGCAAGAAATTGTCATAGTAGAGGAACAGAATCCTGCCTATATGCAATTTAAAATTTGTACAAATAGAGGAGGCTGTGTAGAAGAGTGTGTATCACAAAATACTGCCTAGAAAGGGTTATGAGATACCCAAGGTTGATATCATTAGCATTACAAATAATAATACATATGACACCTGAATCAGGAAACAAATACTGATGTTACTTATAATTTTATAGAGTTTAATATTATGC